AGTCAATATTCTAATGAAATTTTAGAACACAGTCCCTCTATACTGACGATATTCCTGGAATCAAGGAAGGGGCACCGTGACTTAGAGCTGGGGCTTAGAGGCATGTGCTCAACCTGAGGTCCCAGCTCTGTCTCCCTGGGTATGTGAAGCTGGACAAGGTAGCCACGCTCTGTAAATGTCATTTTGGCATCCATAAAGTGATGGTAAAGGTACCTATTATTACCTTATAGAATCCTTGTGAGGCTTTAGTTACATAATGGATACAAATGCATCTAGTATGAACATTTAAGCAATAAATATTAACTTCTTGAGACAGCTCTGTGGTCACAGGTTGAGATCTAAACCCAAGCTTTATCTCAGAGCATAACTTTGGTTCTATGTTTTATGTCTTTTAAAATACATTATAATTCAGTAGAGCTCTTTTCTGAAGGTATTTAGTGAGAAAGGTGGTTATCGTGTGTGTCAGAGACTTTCTTATGTTGTCTCCTCTTCTCCCTGGAAGACATGATAAGATAGAAACAGACTCATAGACACAGAGAACAGACTGACACTGTCCTAGGGGAGGGGGCTGGGAGGCTGGGTAAAAACAGTGAAGGGATTAAGCAAAAAAATAACAACAACAAAAAAAAACGTAATGGACACAGACAATAGTATGATGATTTCCAGAGGGAAAGGGGTCTTGGGGAGGTAGAGGGTAAAAGGGGGATAAATGGTGATGAAGAAGACTTGATTTGGGTTGGTGAACACATAATACAATATACAGATGATGTATTATGGAATTGAACACCTGAACCCTATATAATTTTATTAACCAATGTCATCCCAATAAATTCATCACATACCCTGGTTGGTCTTAGCAAATTGTCCTTAGTCTTTTTTAAGCAATGTCAGTACATGTGTAATTCACTTAGTTTTTTATTGTTGTTGTTTTGTTATTTATTCTTTAAAAAAAAAAAAAAAGCACAGTAATAAACCAGAAATAGCCATTTTGTAAAACCTGCATAGCTAGACATATTTGTGATCTTTATTAGGGTAATAATCCATCTGTTATGGAACTGGATCAATTTGTAAATTAAATTGATTAATCTAGCAGGAGAAAAAAAGGTTTTGACTTTTCCCACAGTAAGCATTTTCTCAAATGGTTGTCATCCTAAAAAGATTTGGGACGGTTCGGGTCTTGGCTATTCTTCCCCTCTTCACTCAACTTGGAAAGAAGGGCTCGATGTGTATTGAGAAGACGAGAGAGGATGGAGTTCATTCTTTTGGATTCTGTTGGGTCTGATTGATCCTGGAAATTTTATATTTTTGACAGGGTTTAATGTTAAAACCTTTCAGTGACTACCTAGAACATTTCTGATATTCATTGATTAGTTGAATAAATATATAACTATATTTGAATTATATCCTGCAATTTCACCTTACTCTTATTTTCATATTGTCTGATAAAAAAAAATCTTCTGATGATCCCTCGAACAATGTGTGATTGGAATAATAACTTCACACATTGAAGAGTTTGTGCTGCAGCTGAGAGGCATGTAAATACAAGCTGCTTATTTGCAAGAAGCTTCCAGATTTGCAATATGATTGCTATGGAAACCACATAATGAAAACCTTATAACCATCTGTGTGGTTTGATGGATTTTACTGCATAGCTGAGCTGTTTTTGTTTACTGTTATTAAAATGTTGAATGGAGTATATTAACCCACAAACGTTGACTATTTGAGGTATTAATTAGTATTGTAAAATGACATCGTGCCTCAACACCAAAATAAAATATGTTTAATAATAAACCTAAATAATACAACATGTGTTTCTATGTCTAATATACTGTGAAGGTGGTTATTACCTAGAGTTTTAGTCACTTGTCCTTATATATATTTTTTCAGTGGTGTGGAGAGGTGTGCTCTGTTAATAAATGAATATAGTAGAATTTATTTTTATGATTTTTGAATCTATTTGTTCACTCAGTATTTATTGAATATCTCCCTTGTATCATATTCTATCTAAGATTCAGTCTGAGTTTTTTTTTAATCCCTAAGATTAAAACACACACACACACACACACACACACACACACACACACACCCCAGATTTGATTTTGTTGTCTTTTATATGGAAGCTGTTTGTATTGTTAGGGAAAAAGTTGATGTATGAAATTCAGAAGGCTTTGACCTAAAAATATCAGTACTAGGTTTGAAATGGAGAAACGAAGTGTTTTTAATGAGCATCTCATCCTCTAAAATACTGCTTATTAAGCAGCTCACACAGATTTCAATGTGAATACTTATAGTAAATACTTATACTTAAGTAAATATTTTTACTATCATTCTGGTAATTTAAGAATACACTGCATGTTATAGGCATGTACATTTTATAAAATAAGAATAAGCATATAGTAATAAACTCTAATTTGTTAACTTTGCCAAGAGCCAGGTTGTTTCATTTAATTGTTATAATTAGTTTTTGTGATATCTTGCCACCGACTTTGGGTGGTAAGTCTAAATCCCACAGTCTCTTCTTAAGAACCAAGAATACTGCTTCTTATATTGATGGGGTTATGGCTTTTGACTTGAGGACAGTGCCCTTACCTGTTTTTGAATTTAGTTCCCGTGATTGTATTTGTGACCAAATTGTAAGAGAGAGAGTGCTGGGGAAAGAGCAACTGTGAACAGTAAGGGTTGTTTACTCCCTCATCTTCTAAAATACTATCTGTAAATGACTGTAAATGTGCCTGATACCTCTGAAGTTTGATGAAAACACCCTGTTACCCCATAACTAGTCCTTGACACTCAGCACAAGTGAGGTAACTGTTGTTGAATAGAACAGAGACAGGATTTAGTATCCGACAATGTATTAGGTCTTTTACATATTAATTACTATTTGAACTGTATTACATTGCCAATGTTAGGTTCAACTTAATATGTGTAAAGTACTAAATATTTTCAGCTGATCCTTATGTTGGAGCTTTCATTATTTTGTTTTTGAGTTACAAAAATTCTAAACAACTGTATTTGTTCAAGTACAATAACTCCCAAGCTTGATTTAATTGTTGATGTTTGCTGATCACCACTTTAAAATGTGCACGCGCCTTCTAAGTGTACCTGTGCAGTGCTGGGCTCTCCCAAGCTCTCCAGGTGCCCGCTGACCATGCCCTCTGGGTCGCCCACTGCTCTTTCCATCTCTCCTTGTGTTTCCTCAGAGAGCTTATCTGGGTTATTCCCTTTGTAGGAATGATGTTCCCATTTCTCAGTTAACTAAGCTCAAAGCTCAGCCATCCTTGGTTGCTCTTTCCCCCCTCCCTGGCCTCCACATCCATTCAGGCACAAAGTTTATCAGTTCTAGTTCCTTCACCTCTCGTGACCACCTCCTTCCCATTTCCTCTGCCCGTTCAGGCAGGACTTCCTTCCCCGGTACCAGATCTGCCTGTCTCTCTCCCCAGCCTCCTCCGGATCTGACCGTGGGATCAGATGACCACTCCTCTGTCATCAGTTCACTCCTGCCCTTTCTCTGCTTAAAAATCTTCTGGGGTTCGTATCGCCCACCAAGTCAAAGTCTACAGTCCACAGCAGGGTGTTCATGGCCCTTCAGCCATTGGCCCAAACCACCAGCATCACCCTCCATCCCGCTCCTTCCCTCCGAGTGCCACGTTCTGTAGCTAAGATGAACACGGCGGTGCCTTGTTCCTTTGTGTATGGTCTCCTCTGTCTGGGAAGGTTCTCCTCCCCATGTCTCCGTATTCACTCCTCTCTGCTCTCAGAGCCCGCGCGGCATGCCCGCCCGGTGGTTTCTCTGCGCCCTCATGCCTGGACCTCACAGGTCGGTTTCAGGTCCCATCCCAGTTTTCCTCAGATTCTGCCTTTTGTCCCTCCAGCTTGTCAGCTGCCTGAAGGCAGGGGCTCCTTGCTGCCCTTGCCTCCCTGGTGGACTCTCTCTCTTGCACATAATTAATACTCAATGAAGAGTTATTGGTTGAATTATTTAATAGTCAATAGTGACATGATGTATTTTGCATTTTTTTAAGTTTTAGATTTTTCTTGAAATTACGATTCTTTTTGAACCCACTTTTTCTTTGGCATGCCATTTCATTCATAGGCCCTGCTTTAAATAGTTCTAAGTTGTACATAAGTCCTTAGGTGAGCAAAGTGGTAGTGTAATAAATGTTTCTTGGATGTAAAAGAATTAGTTGGTTGACTCTGTTACAAACTGTTCTTATTGAATCTTACCATTTCCTCCTGTAACTTGGAGAGGGAATGTGATGGGAGAGTGGAAATAGGTAAGGCACATAATATGTGCAGGATAAAGAACATGGACTTTATCATCACAAACCTACATTTGAATAACAAAAGTTAGCAATTTACTGTTTCGGGTCTCATTTTACTTGCCTGTAAATGGGAATTTAAAAATTGTTTATCTAAGAAATCTTTACATCTGCTGCTATGGTGTATGATGCATACATAGTAGGTTCTCAGTATGATTGGGGGGGTACCTTGAAGGATAAGGATCCTTCTAACATTCTCCTGTGAAGATCAAGTGAGAAAACCTATGAAGTCTCGGATACTCAGTACATGACTGTATTTTATAGCACACATTTTCTCCTTGCTACATTGATGTTTTAGGGTCCGTGATTTTATCCGGGTACTCCTGCCACAGTATAATGTGGTCTATCTGTGTAGTGCTGGGTGTCATTTTACTAGATGTTAGGGCTTTTCTGGGTCTAAAATTGTCCCAGATGAGTTTCTAGAAGTATTTAACATGACCCATGCGAAGCACTAGTACGTATCTTAAAGCCAACTGGTAAGATTGCTATTTGGAAATAGCTAGAGGATTATTTGTTCAGCTTTAGATTACTGAAAAAGGGATGTGAATGTCGAGTGGTTTCCTTCTTTGAAAAGGAATCTTTATGTTATAAACTTTTAGTTTTGCTCTTAAGATGGGGTGAGTCCTCTATTGTTACCCCGAGGAAACCCTTCAGTGTGCCATTTGTGTTGTTTATTTACAGACGAGGAAGAGGACGGCGCTCCCGGGAAAGTGGAGGAACAAAGGAGGACGAGTCAGGACAGTGGTCATCACACCACAGGTAAGGAACTGCGTAGCTTCCTGGGAAATTACTTTGGTTTGTTCACTTTCTTGCTGCTCGAAAGACATGTACACAGCTCCCCAAAGTTGGCTCCTTCAGCCCGGCTATCTCGTGGCTGATAAGCTGCTTAGCCCCATTTAGGATGCATGAAAACCACTTGAGAAGGATTTATAAAGTAAGCCAATTTATACAAGGTATTCCTTCCTGAATTACTTTGTAATGACTCAATTAGCTTTCATTTCTGCACAGAGGAGATTTAGTTGCATAAATTAGCTTATCATCATTGAGGAAGTGTCACTGCTAAAGGACAGTTTATAGATACAACACGCATTCGCTGTCAAACCTATAAGAATGTAATATAGACATCTGTGTGTACTTTGTGCTTGAGCAGAACAGACTTCTGCCATTCAGAGACTAACAGGGGACAACAAGTTGCCCTGGGGACTGGCAATGTAGACATCTCTGAAAAGGTCAACTTGACACAGGCTCTGACAATCGACCCACAGCTCTGTCTTCTTTGATAAAAATCAGATAAACTTAAGACCACTAATTGATCTGCAGCCTGTTTAAATGTTGGCCATGCATATCTTCATTGCATATGATTAACACAGAAAGCAAATGAATTGGGTAAGAAATGCCAGGGTCCAGTGACAGCAGCTTGAAAACGGAAAAGGACACTGTGGCCTAGAAGTCTAGGAAGGAGAGTCCCCTTATCCATTTCCACTTGCCACATGGCCCCACGTACTAATTAGGACTGAGACTGGAACAATAACTACACATGCTGTGTACAGAATCACACGACATGGGCAGCTTTCCTTGCTGGTTGTTATTTCCAAGTAGCAGGAGATAAACCGTATCTGTTGTGCAGGCATGAGGTGGGTTTTGATAAACCAGCAGCAATTTTACGCGGAAAGAAGAGGAGGACCGCCCTCTTACCAGGACGTCACCCTCTCGCCGCCACATGTCAGCTGGGGCGAGGTCTGCCCTATCATCCCATGTCCTGCAAAGAGCTGCAGCCGGGGTCACCTTCCCTTCTCTGATATGTCCATACATCACTCTTCCGAGCTGTCAGAGGCAGGGTGGACAAGAAGTGTGTGTTCAGGAAGTAGCTTTCCAGGGTCCTTCCTACTGTGACATGTGGAAAGGAAACAGAGGCCTGGTTTCCGGACCTGGGCAGGAAAGCAGGAGCGGGTTGCTGCAGGAGGTTTGGGCTTGCTTTTTTCGGAAAGGAAGTGAGGACGAAGTCATTAGCTGTTAGCACTCAGGTCCTGTAAAATGCAGCCATAAAACACGAGGCGGAGTGAGACCTTGAGGACCATGTTCAGTAGTAATTTAAGTATATATGTTTTATTATGTGTCATAAAGCTTCTGCCCAAAGCATGTCGCTTTTTAAAAATTTCAGTGCAGGTGTGGAAGGAAGACACATAGAGATATTTTTTCCCACAAAAAAAGTATTTTGGCTTAAAGCACTTGTATTTTTCAAAAACCCTTTTATAGTAACTATCTCCCAAATTTTTGCCTTTGAGGGAAGGAAAAAAAATCAGGTTTTCTTCAGAGGAATGCATTAAATAGATCTAGCTTTTCATGCAATAGCTATAAATTAGCACTGCAATAATTCTTATCTTTCGTGACATGAAATTCTTTTCAAGCAACAGTTTTAATGCTTTTGCATAGCAGTGACCTTTGCTCTCCCGAGGCTGTCGAAGATGTAACACTAGAAGTTTGTTTGCTGTGCAGGGCAGCGAGTTGACAAGGGCATTACTATCTTGCTGAGCATCACATGATGTGAACTTCTAACCTTACTCAAGAATGTTATATATTTTTCACATTGACTGATATTACTAAAAAAAAAAAAAAAAAGGCTAATGTAAAATATGTAAGCAAAAACAAAATTAATCTTGGCTACCTTACAAGTTCTTTCATGTTCAAGCTTATATTTCTTGCTTATGTTTATTATATTTATAATTAAGATTCCATTGGATTTTTTAACATTGTACAATATGCTTACCTCTCTAAAACAAATTTATTTTTTAAACATATAATACTACTCAAGGAGAAAACCTCCAGTATTTTATTAGCATATTTTTCATCCATTGTCATCATTTTTAAAACCTTTACATTTATGCAAATGTACCCCCAATGTTTAGTTTATACTTTTATAATAATTTTGTTATTATTGCCCAATGATCTGTTTTTGTATTTTTGAAAAAGCAGGAGCAAGTATATATTGTTTAAATCTGTCACAGGCTGGCTAATTTAGAATTCTTTTCCTTCTTTTTTAACCATCCATGCCTCTCAGGACAAGAAACAAATAATGAGATGATTTTTTTTTTTATATTTGTAATTTTGAAAATATTGATAATGATGTGGATAGAGTGGAAAAGTTAACCCTTGCAGTAAAGAGACTTCTAAACAGACAACTAAACAGTCTTCGTTTGTATTCAGAATGCATGCTTCTCTGTGGTTTATAGCATTAGGCTTCATCCCACGTTTTGTTGTTGTTTTTAAAAAACACCCTTCGCATGAGTTATTTTTCGGTGTGTGGGTGAACAGTGTTAACTTTTGTGAACCCACTGTGCTTTTGAGACTACATCTAGGCATAGGCTTTCGGTGTCTGCTCAGCCACAATTAAAATTTTTAAAAGTAAACCAGAGGAGCTTGCTGCTCTCTAAGGAACGGGAGAATCCCTAATTTTATGACTAGGATTTTCTCCAAGAACCTGAACATCACTTCCTGGGGAGACTAAGGCTAGGAAACGTCTGCTGCCCGGCCTTCTCCCCAGCTGTGATCGCGCCTCGTAACTAGTACGGACGCTGACATGGACAGCAGTGCCTTGTAGGTCCATGCGGCCCGTGACACACACACTGACTATTTCTAACAGCTCACATATGGGACCCAGCAATGAGCTTGGTCTTTGGGTTACATCACCATCAAGGTTATAGAAGGCACAGTGGAAATGCATCTTTCCCCAGTACTGCCACATCGCCAGCTCCCTTGCCTCTCAGGGCGGTGAGACTTAATGAAATGCTCATGACGCACATCCAGGGAGAGATGCATCTTGCTCGCGGTGGGGGTCTCTGTGCCCCTCACGTGCTCCTGGAACTCCCATTAGTGTTAATGGGAGTTTCACCAAGCGCATCGAAGGGAAGAGAGACCCCAAAGTGATAAGGATTATTATGCATTAGAAATCATCATATGCTTTTCTTTTCCTTCCTTCCTTCCCCCCACCTTTTGAAAATCTATTGATTGAGAAAGCGTCGTGCGAGAGGCTGAAAAAGGGAAGAGCAGGCAGCAGGCTGGAAGCTGGATAAGCTGCTGGGATGCCCTGGCCAAGCCACAACTTCTTCTCTAGTATCTGGCACAAGTTTTGTTTCTTCAGCCTCTCTGAATCAAGCCTAAGGCTGAGCAGCATGGGGAGCACACAGGAGCCTCAACTCCTGAGATTCTTTTACCTCCTGGCCAGGGACTGTGGAGAAGGGCCGTGCACTGCAATGATGTCATCCTCTCTCTGCTCTAATTCCTGGACTTTCGAACTGACACTGACAGACTACATGGGGCTCAACATTTGACCCATTTAGCAGTTGATTTAATCTGACTAGGATGTTTCAACTTCTAAATCTCTATTTGTCTAAATAAGTGGTTTTTAAAGGAAATCAGTCACTTTATTATTAAGTAATTTTTTTCTAAAAAAAATTTGACAATGTTTGGAGTGATCTGTCCAGCCAGAGTGCCCTCTAGTGTCCATTTATAGAATATACTTAATATGTGCTTTGGGGGGAAAAAACGTACGGAAGGGCGGCCACAGGCATTGTTAGTTCTTGGTTGGATTCCCAGACTCGTGCACATCCCTGCTGATGTCAGTGATGGGTGTTCACATGCTAGAGTGGAGAGGTCAATAAGGTGTTTGTCTCTCTGCCCCTCCCTTCCTCCGTCCCTCCCCCCTCTTCCCATTTCCCTCATTCCCTCCCTCTCTTTGTTTTAATTCTTAGAAATGAAAGAAAAAATATTAATAGGATTTTGCTAGATTGTGGTATTCTAGTCCTACATAAGTAGCATCTTACTTGCTATTATTCAGACTCCCCATTATTGGGATTTTCTTTTTGACTTTAAAAAATGTTTCCAACATTAAAGAGAATTTCTAAAATTTCTAATGAACATAACACTTTGTACATATCACAAACCATGTGTAATAAGATGAACATTCTAATGACATGCTAATGTGACTGGTTGTGTTGGAATTGCCAACGAGCCTGCTGTGTGAGAGCCATACAACAAAACTCAGATGACAACCCCGATCCAGCATGTGTCTCCACCGTTATCCCCTCAGAATTCAAAGATGACATTCAATGATGGAAGTTGTCAGCGCATATATGTTCTGCCTGGTTAGTGAATACATGGACATCTCACTGATACTACTTGCATTCTTTTTGCATTAACTCATCAAAACTCAATTATCATGAAATTAAAAACAGGAAACAGTTCTCAGTGTAACAAAAGCATCCAGTGTATTTAACTCTGTGCTGTGTTTCAGGAGAGCCACATTGTATAAGTGACAAAGCATTTATTACCCGGTTTATTGTGGTATTACAGAGCAGAGAGCGCTAAATAATCAATCAGTTAATGGTCTGTATGGCAGTTTGAGCACATCACATCCATTGTGCTTATGCTGTTAGAAGGATGAGCTGATAACTCCAGTGTATGTTGCATGTTTATTCAGAGCCTAATGTCCTAAACTCGGGCTGACAGAAATGTTGGGAAAAAATGCAGCTTCAGCATTGACAATTTCTAAGTTGTTAAAATATTTTTGAAATAACTTTGAGAGGCTTCAGATACAAAAATCCCCAAAGATAAGCGCTAGAATTACCCTTTGTATTATTTCCACTTTATCCTCTTTCTTAAACTAGCTTTAGGTTTTAGAATAAAAAAATAAAATAAAAAAAAGTGGTTCCCCTAGTTTGGGTTAGACTTGTACCTTAGCTCCTTTATTATGATCATTTTTATGAAGTGCCCCAATTCTGTAAGGTGGTTATTTCGCAGTATGCTGATCACATCTCTGGCTATCACACACTGTGCAGAGTGGGTCTCATCTTCAAAGCACGTTGCCATGGGCTTAGGTTCCTATATAAAACAAGTGGGAAGTAACTTTTAGGTGCTGGTTTGATGAGAAAACACTGCAATTACAGGTTTTAGATGAACAATAAAGAGAGAAAGAGAAAAAACAGACATTGGAAATCAGTTCTTTTTGAAAATGGTCCCTAATTAGATGATAGTAAGAAACAGGATTCTTGTGAGGATGTAATAAAATTTTTCTTTGAGTTAGGAGTGAATTTTTAAAGACTATTTTGGTGGTTTTCGGTGGCTCCTTACTTTCTCTTGGTTCATTTTAAAATGAGGGTCTATTCCATGAGTAATTCATGTTTTCTCTTTCTTCTTTCTAGGCGACAAAAGCACTGATTATGCTAATTTCTACCAGGGTTTGTGGGACTGCACAGGTGCTGTTTCTGATGAGCTGTCATTTAAAAGAGGTGACGTGATTTACATTCTTAGCAAGGTAAGAAGGTACCCCAAAATGACTACTGTAAAGGGTGAATACAAAACTAGATTTTTATGCATTTGGATTACAACACTGGGGAAAATGCCAATTGGAATTCTTCTAAGTCCTTGTTAACAATCGGGAGTTCAAAATAATTAATTATTTTGTCAAGTGAAATATAATCAAAATTTAAACACAATCAGATAACAGGATTCAACTTAACAGTGTGTTTACCTATCACTTTAGCCTTTGGCTCCCATCCACACACTGCCTTCTCCAGAAACAATATACTTATGTGAAAGTTAACATTGTAAGGTATTAGGTTATTTATTATGTTTCTTTCCTCTTCCTTTTTATTCTTCTGTGTGCTTATTCTGATTTTGTCTGCCATTCACTACTGGAAACACCGTGTTTATAGAACAAGCTTTTCATCTTTATGTAAATACATTGGGTGTTCCGACAATTTAAGAGCAATGCTTTTCTATTCAGACAAGTTTAGGTAATTTTTTTATGTTTAACATAATTGTATTTGTAAACAGAATAGCAAAGTATGTTGCTATGAACTCATCTTTATATATAAAAAATCATGCTTCTGCCTCTTTAAGATACTGGATTTTTCAAAATCTTTCTGTCCTTTAATCTAAAAGTTTCTTTTTGTGATTACACTTCTGATGTGTGAGCTCCCTTACTCTTCACATTTATACTTTCCCTACTGTAATATGGGTATTAAAAAAAAAATACCTTCTTTAGTCTCCTTTATGAGGCTATTTTAGAAACAAGTGATATATGGAAACTATTAAAAGCATGGCAATGTTACATAAATCATAAGTCTAGTCCGGCCGGTGTGGCTCAGTGGTTGAGCGTTGACCCGTGCACCAAGAGGTCCCCAGTTCGATTCCCGGCCAGGACACATGCCCAGGTTGTGGGCCTGATCCCCAGTGGGGGACAAGCGGGAGGCGGCCAATAGATGTTCCCTCTCCTCGATGTTTCTCTCTCTCTCTCCATTTCACTTCCTCTCTCTCTAAAATCAATTTTAAAAAAAGAAAAATGAAAAAAATAATAAGTCTAGGAATTTAGTGTGATTTCTTGATTAGAGAAATATTTTGGACTTTTCAGAAAGATAATATGATTGTTAGATACAAAGAGAATTTGGAAATAAGGTCAGTTACTGAATTTTAACATTCATTGACTAGTGCTTAAAATCATAACAGAGAATCATAGGATTGAGTGAGGGCTCTTAGGGATCATCTATCTATTCATGGTTTTTACAGGTAAGAAAACATGGGTCAAGAAAGTGCCAGAGCCTATATTTAACGAGGCATCTTAACTTCAACCAAGGCTTTCTGCTCTGTTTCTTTCTTGTGCTTGTATCTTCTTTCCTGCTTCTGTTCTTTCTTCTCTTTCCCTCTCTCCTCCGTCCCTCTCTCTCTCTCTTCTTGTCTTCCTAGTGTTTAATTCGAAACCATCATAAAGTACTTATAATGTGCCAACTCCCATTCTAAGCACCAGGAATGCAAAAGAAATAAGATATAACCACTTGTAGATTATTGGGGGAAATGTTTAGTAAGTAAATACGTATAGCCAACCGTGATCATTGCCAGTTGAGGTCCCCAAAGCAAAGGCTTGTCTTTTATGTCTGTCCCCAGCTCATTAGTGTGGGATTTTTTTCTTTTTAGAAAGACACTTTTAGTTCTTAGAAGTTATAGATAGCCATATCACAACTCTTGCATTAAGCCTATTATTGAGCATTTAATTGCCTGGGTTAAGACAGCAGTTTTTTTTCTTTAGTTAATTACTTAATATAGGAACCAAACTGATTAATTTCAGTTCTTGACAAACTCCCTTAGTATCATTCCTCAAATTTACTTACCTCACAGTTGCTTTCACCAATGTAGCTGTGGTTGTGTATAAAATTAAATGGTGGATTGGCTTCCACGTGGAGTTTCAGATTGTAGGGATAAACAGCAGACCGCCAGTGTATCCCTGTGGTAAATACGAAGCGCATGAAGCCCAGGTGGGTCTGTTCTTAGAGCCTTCTTTCCGCGCCACGTCGTCTTTCTTGCCGAAGGCCCGGGAGTACCAGCCTCCAGGAGAGACTGTGAAGTGAGCGGCACGCCCGTAGGCAGGCCCTGCGCCTACATTGCCTTCTAAATCATTTTCTGTTAACATGAAATCAAAATATCTGTGTATTATACTTCTAGGAGTCCAGGGGAGGCACTTCTGTGACTCCCCAAACTGGTGTGTGGAAATTGTAACTTTGTATGTGAAGCCTGATCACAGAGCCAGGGTTCATGGTGGTCCAGCTTGGAGGAGGAGCATACCACCAGCTAAAATTGCTAAAATTGCTAAATGCTGTAAACACATTATCACCGTTGGCTGAATATTTACCCACCTGTGGACCTAGCGGGATCAACCAGGCAACTCTCAGTGAGGGTGAAAATAAAGGACACCTAGCTCTCCCTCCATGGAATTTGTACTAATTCTGGGCCATTAATGGGTGTTTTGGCTGTTGGTTGTTTTAGGGGTTAGTATATGTTTGTGAAGACTGACTTCTCCACTTTGCTTTGCGGGAGTTCAGATTGGAATCTCTGGAGACAAAATTTTTACTTGGGTTGGCCTTCCAGTTTTTATAAAAAATTCTGCACACATAGACTATAAGTTAATATCATAAGTTCACTTAATATATGAATGATGACTGCAATTTGAATACTTGGCATGACGGTAAATTCAGAACTCAAGACCCTTAGTAGAAGAAAGTGAAAAATTGCTCAAAAGGGCTTGTTTGTAGATCAAAGTAGAGTTGGTCTTCTATGTTGATAGATTATTTTTTTAAGTACAGTTAGAATAGAAATCACTAGCATTGTTGTATGCCTAGAAATTTGTTTAATCTTTCTCAGTTATATTTAGACTGCGTTGTGATGGAATGAAAATGTACCAGTTTTAATTTATTTGTTACACCATCTAGTGGCTCAGAATGAGTGGTGCAGGTAATTGCAGCTAATGTGCAGAATCAAAATGATGTCATAAATCCAACTTTAAATCCAGCTATGGGCTATTACTTTCCTATCTCATGTCAATAAAATATTAACATTAATCACAAAAATGTTTTCATCATTTTGAATGAAATGTAAAATTGTGTACATAAGGAAGAATACATTTTAAGGAGCCTAACAATGTTTATGGAGACATAGAAAATGTGTATTTTGTAAAGAAAGTAATGCCACAACTTTTTTAATAACACCATTTAAAAGATTTTAAAGAACTATGACTTGCTTTTAATAATTAACTTATCTACAACTTGCAATATTCACTGTCTTGCCTTCCTTTTTTTTCAACATTATTTTTCTTTATTGATTTTAGAGAGAGAGGAAGGGAGAAAGAGAGAGAGATAGAAACATTGATGAGAGAGAACATTGATTGGCTGCCTCCTGCATGCCCCCCACTGGGGATCAGGCCCACAACCCGGGCATGTGTCCTGACCGGGAATCAAACCAGCAACCTCTGGGTGCATGGGACGATGCTCAACCACTGAGCCACACCGGTTGGGCTGCCTTACCTTCTTATAGGAGGCTGTCAGTTCTGAAAATACTCTTTTAAAAAAGGCATCCTGGCCAGTTTGGCTCAGCGGTTAGAGCATCGGCTTTCAGACCAAAGAGTATCACTTTCGATTCTGGTCAAGGGCACGTACGTTGTGGTTCACTCCCCAGGGTCGTGCGGGAGGCAACCAATCAATGTGTCTCTCACGTTGATGTCTCTCTCTCTCTCTCTTTCTCTCTCTCTCTCTCCCTCCCTCCCTCCCTCCCTCCCCCCCTCCCCCTCTCTCTCCCTTCTTCCCTCCCACTATATCTGAAGATAAATGGAAACATATCCTCTGGTGAGAATTTAAAAAAAAAAAAAGGCAACAGAAGATAGTTTAAGAAAAGATGTACTATTCTTTCAGTATAGATAAACATTTAAACAAATCATGAAATAATATGGCATACGTTATAATAAAGAGTGTTTTAATTTTGTAATTGTAGTGACCAAGAGATTTAACTGGTTTGAGGATTAGGCTGTGGTCATAGAAATATATTTTTATTTTTAAATCTAGTCTTCTTCTATTTTTGCAAGGAAGCCTTGATGGGATGTCAGCTGTGCTCACTGGGTCAGCCTGGTGTGATTTATTTATTTGAGACCTCTTTTGAGAGTTATATAAATCTTAGCCCTTCTTTTAATATTTTTAGTGAGAATCAAATGTTGCAGTAAAGAAAAAAGAGTAGGCAGATACCCTGCCCTTCCCTCTTGTCTGTTAACATTTTCCAATTAGCAGTTGTCACGTGACCCTGGGCTGAGGTAGCCCCTCCTCCAAAGTGTCCCACCTTTTCTTGGTTTTAACCTTTGAACCTCACTAATAATAAATCTAAATATTGCTTGGCTAAAAAGGCGAGCCAGTAGTGATGTTTGGCTTACAGTTCTTTTCATATAGGGTTGTGGCTTTTTTGTGTGTTAAAATTAAATACTTTATTTACTTTAGTAGTTCAGTGGGATTTAGAAAGCCCACCCCCCAACCCCCACAATGGATCGCATTTTCAGGGGTGAATAAAACTGGGATATGTAATTTTCATGACGACTGTGTTATTAGTAAATTAACTGAAACACAAGGCCTGTTTTCAGATTAATTTGATAGGGAAAAATATCATATTTGAGGTAAGAAAAAAATTTTTTTCGTTTTAATTTAGAAATCAGGTTGTTTAAAATCATGTTAAATTTTTTACTAGTTTGCATTTCAATTTTATTACCACCTTAAACATGGACAGCTTATCATCATCAGTAGTATTTTCCTAGAACTATGTTTGTGAAATTGTATGATTTTAATAGCAGGACCCAGGCTACATAGCTATAGGCGTGTTCCGTGGGCCCGCATACCTCTTCGGTATGTCATTCTACTTGCCGTTCTGGATTTACATCCTATCTTAGTTTATCTTTCAATCTCTACTCATCGGTAAATTGCTAACCACATTCCTATTCTTACTTTTAAA